CCCATTAAATATAGTTCACAAATTCACAAAAATTAAATCTTATATAACATTAATTATTTATGTTATAGATTATAATTTTTAGATTGTGAGTGTAGCGAAAAATGTATTCAGTATTGGTTTTACAGTGATATTTATTTTACCATCGTCAGAATACAGTTCTGACGATCGACCCGTTAAGTTAGGTTTAATTACCTACGTAACAATAAGGAAAAGTATATGGAAATGACTCCAGGAAAGTGTGTGGTTTTAAACGACTCTCGCTTTTATAGTGCAGTTTTTCAGTTTTACGTTTAAATTTTAATGATGTATGATGTATCTATAAATGATATTAACTATTAAATATCACGAATATGTTTACTAAAAAAAAAAATAAAATAAAAATAAAAATTAGCTAAACTTGTTAAAAATGAAAAACGTTACAAACATTTTAACAATCTTTCACAATTGTGACTATGATAGGATCTTTAACCTAACCTATAATAATATTACAATTATTATACAAATTTTGTTTCGTTTTTTTTTTTTTTTGAGATCTAAAATTGTCTACACTAATAAATATTATACATACCTACATAATAATAATAGTGTTGTATAAGTACACATTTCTATTTAAATTAACATATTTTTACTTTGTAACAATGAATGATACGAATGGTTATAATTAGACAGGTTGAAGAACACGTTTCATGACTATGAGGTTTATTTGAAAATATATATTTTCAATCCTTGACTGATAAATACATAGTAACTACTTACATTAGTATACGAACGTATTAAATTTACATTTAATTTTCATTTCGAATTTGTATAAATTATACGATAAAGGATAAAATGTGAAGAAAATATGCATGAATATTACATTAAAAAGAAAATCTAATAAGGTCTCGTTTTGCGTGTCCTTATTAAATGTCTCGAGATAGGTTAGATGCAAAATTGTACGAGTCAATTGAAGAGGAGTAAAAAGGCAATTTATAAATAGGTAAATAAGAAATTTGTATTCCTAGCCATTCTTTCAGATTTAGCATTAAATAATTCTCATTTCTCAGTAAAACCAGTAATACTAAAATTAATTCGAAATTATATTTTTCTACCTACCGTCTAGGTTCAAAGTTATATTTAATTTTAAACCAAAACGGATTATCTTAAATAACGGTTTTTTTTTTCATTAATGGGTACTTTTTAAATTTTGTTCAAAAACAAACTAATCCATTTTACCTATCTTTGTATAAAATGTGTTCCACGAAATATACTAATTGCAATATCTCCTGAGAGAATAAAGATAATCAAATTCTGTTTATATATACATATATATATATGTCGTAAACCATATAAAAATTATTTTTTTTACGAAAAAACTAGGTTCTTTGCAATGGGGTAACCCGTTTGCTCACTACATATTATTTTTCTAAACGGCTTAATTTTTTCAGGCTTATTGCATACATATTACAGCAGTTAGGCCATTTAAGAACTACAATCATAATATAGTAATAACCATTTTAATTATTTTATTTTAAGGGTATAAACTATATCAATAGTGAGTATATAAAATATATTTTATTCAATTTTAATTTAAAAAATTTAAATAAAAAATTAGTCTTTTCGCAAAAAGACTAATTTTCCATATGGCCTACGACATATACATATATTATTATTTATTATACCTACCTAACCTTTTCTCTGAACTTAAAATAATTATTAAAAATCACAAATTTAATGGAAAAGTTGTCAAAGTTTTTAGAAGAATAAACTTTTTAAAATGGTTATCTTTAAATTTTTCAAAAATGACAAAATAAAAATAATTTTTTTTATGTTTTTTACCAAAACACAAAAAATATTTTAAATATTTGTAGCTCTTGCTTCTATAAGTAATATTAAAAAAAAAAAAAAAAATTTAGTTATCTTTATTATTTCCAGAGATATTACAATCGGTATATCTTTTTGGGCCTATCTATATATTTGTTTTTATTCTAAATCAGTAATATTATCTAAATCTATCATAACCACGAAATAACCAATCAAAGGTTGTAAATATTTACTTATTATCAATAGATTCTCTGATAAAATAAAATAGAAAACAAAGTTGCAAAAATAATTGTTCTATGTTTTATTGAGAATGTGTGGTAAATAATTTAAGCACGTTGCAGGCTTATTTGTTCTTGTTTTTTACATAACGGACTACCAGCTGTATTCGATAATATGCATAATTTTTAAAAGATCCATTTAAACTTTCTTCAAATTTATATTTTTAAAAGTTAGACAACACACAAAACCACTAAATAAACACTGTAATAATTAATTTTTGTTTCCATAATACGTATTAATATGCATACAAATTAAATATTAATCAATGTGAAGAATGTTTTCAAAATACAATGAGCAACCAAATTGAGGTTTCCAATATATTTTCATTATATTTATTACGATTAATACGAGTATTCTATAATTACTACACTAATTTAAGACATCATATATTATAATGAAATGACTTTGAAATACATTCAATTTAAAACTGTCAATATTTTTATAACGATACACATAAGTTCAAATAAATATAATTTACAATTTTCAATTTAACACGTAGATACTAAAAGGTTTTTCGAACTTATTAGTATACGTATTGATATAGCACCCTCACAAGATTGAGCAAGTCCCTACACATGCTTATGGATTAGAACCGCTCTTTTCTTTCTACTTACTAATTAAAAAACCCAGAGAAATGAAAAATATATGTATATTTATAATATATTCAATAAATTATTAACACTACCTAGTATAATTTCGCATTCTAATATTTTATATATAATTTATGTCGGTATTATTACTGATTTTCTGCAAACAGTCATATTGAGAATAAAATCACTGATCAAAAACTAATTCTTTACCCAACAAAAAAAGAAAATCTCCTTGTCTTTAGATTGTAATATTTATTTTTATGTTGTTATTTTATTAACAATTATATTTAAAAGCATGGAAATTAGCACTGTTAGCATAATTATAGGAGATTCTATAATTTAGCATTTTATGTAATCATATTATATAGAACAACTGAAATCGCCATAACATAATAACACGATTCGACACTCGTATCTACTAGAATTGAATCGCGTATTTTTGATTATTAAGTATTTTACAGTTAATATGTTTTAATTGGTATTGGTTAACAGATTAATTTTAAAATGCTATACAATATTATTGTTGTGTCCTATATTATTGGAAATTACTTGTGTGACTCGTGAATTATCTATACAGACATTTCCATTGCGATACGAAATTAAAATTGGAATTTTTAAAAATTTGTAATGTACACACTTTTATAATCCTTACATATACTTACTCAAGATGATTTATTACGATTTAATTGTCTCTAAGTATTACATAATAATGCGATTAAACTGTTTTAGAGCTTAAAATTATTTAATTTAATTGACGAACATGCGTATACTTATAAGTCACGAATTTTGCATAACTAATGGCTATTATATTTCGTGTAAATGAATTGTAAAACATAGTATTAAAACTTTACATTAAAATGTATTATAACAGAAGATACCCCATGGGTATTAATAACGAAAACCCCATTCGACTAGAGGTAAGATGAAATGTAATTCTTTTTTTTTACCTACCTATATATAACGGTCCTAACAAACCTTTTAAAAGTAGCTATTTAAAACAATTTAATTATTAGAATTTTACTTATAAGTAGATATTCGCAAAACATTTTTACATCTAATTTACGTATTGAAAGTATATAACTGAACGATGATAAAGGCGGATTTTCGTGACCATCATCGCCGAATAATAGGTCGTAATCTTAATGTTACGATCGTTAATGAATGTTAGAAAGTAGCAAAAACAGAAAAATAAACAAAAAATATTGACTATACTTCATTATATCGGTGCCAAAAAGTTGACATTTTTTTTTCAAATGTATTAAACATTTCCTTCTTGCTGTAATAAATCAAAATTCCTTTTAGGTATTTTTGCAAGTCAACTAAAATTAATAAACATAGCCGCAATAACGGAATATTAATTTTATACGCTGCGCACAACAAAATAAGATTGAAACCGTAATCATAATTTTAATGAAGTTTGTTATTATTTTTGTCGAATTATATTCATTATAAACTATCATATACAGGTATAGGCAAACAATTTTTTAAACAAAAAATAAACTATTCGAATATGGTAAAAATATTTGGTATTTCCATTGAAGGAAATGGATGATTTATTGCACATGTGCGTACCACAAGGATTGACATTTTGAAAATAGGCTCAAAATGAACATTTTAAATACCCCGATCTTCCAAAAAGACAAATTTACATTTAAATCAATCCGACTGAAACTATTTCGTATAACAAATTTACCATTTGAGTAAAACACACTGTATATATGCGACGTCGACGTGTGAACATTTGGCAAAATATATTATTGTTATTTTACGTTAAAAAGTATTATCATTGAAATACCGTGCGAAGAAACCGCTATATTATATTGTTGTTAAATATTTCATCGTTTCTCGAGAGACTCTGAGACCCATTACAGCCAAACTTTCGGCTGCCAACGTATCAACATCAGCGCAGAAAGATAATATAATATCATATTATATCGCAGAACAACATAATATATAAAGAGCATGTGGTAAAAATATACTCCACAAATATACATTACATGTTTTCTGCGCTGCGATCGATATAATGACCAAGATAACTGCCATAAAATTACTGTATATATATATATAGTACTTATGTATTACTATCTCGACCGTAGTGGATTCCAGAAAAAGAAATGTCCCAAAAAAACTTACATTGTATAATACAAGTATATATTTACAGTACACTCCACTTTCGTCTTCCGAGGATATTAATCCGACCACTGACGCCAGCGGCTTGGCTGTAATCTCTTGTAGATCCCTTCAAGGCCTCAACGCCATCACCAGCGTCTCGTATAATTGATGTCATCATTTTGGCCAAGTATAAAACAAAAACTATTGGACCGGAATTCAAATGCCATGAAAACGATCAAAAAGTGCTTTTTGACTTCAATAACGTGTACATAAAAATAGATAAAGGACGAAAAATGTAAAATAAAAGTTTTAAACGAATTATGTAGGTATTCTTGGAGTGCATATTGTCCTATTGTAATCAAAACACAAAAAAAAAGTAATGTAGACAACAAATAGTCATGAAAATAAAATATACTTATATCCAATTATGAAAACCAAATGTCCAGAGATAATATTTTGAATAAAATACCTACCTAATTTTACACTAAAAACTCGTACCTTTTATTCTCTATTTACGTACATAGAGTAAATTAAAGTATAATCACGCACTAAAAATTTGGAAAACAACAAAAAATGTAAAATCAAATTTAGTTTCGAAACTTGGAGTAAATTGTCTAAAAAAAAAGGGGAAAAAATCCATTCCCATTGAAATCCAACCCTTAAGCAGTGGCTTAGCTAAGGTGTATCAAAGGTGAGAGGGGGTGAAAAGATTTGTTTGTTTCTATAATTATCAAAGAAAAAAAAAAATTAAATACTTTTTGAAATATCGAGTGTAGTCACTTAAATAATAGATCTCTATATATATAGTGTAAATATTTCGATTGAGCCATTTGGTCATTTCAACTATCTACACCCTCAACTACCATTTTTATGCTCATATTTCTTGTACTGTAACAGGAAATAGAGAGTTTTAAATACATTTATATACAAATAAGCAACTTGATTAAAATCTGTGTATATAAATAGAATTGTTGTTGAGGATGTGCTTTTAAAAGATTTGCACTACTAACCAATGATTTCATCGTCTGTTTGTATGTTAACAAAAATCTCAAGAATTACTTAACCTAATTTGATACAAATTTGTTTTTTAGTTTTATATTATGATATAAAAATTAAATATGAATAGGCAATAAGTCAGGTGAGAGGGAATTCGACTCAAATTACGGAGCTCTGTTGTTCATGTATTTTTATATATATATATATAAGATCAAGCCCGTATAAAACTAATCAATTCAAAATCTTTAGTTCTAAATAATATAAATCATTATAATTGTAATCCTGTGTTTACTCGGTAACACAATTTTATAGAGTAAGTATGTAATATTAAATACGTAGTACGTAGTATTTACTCTTCGCGAGTCACAAAAAATATTTATTTACGAGAAATATTTGATAAAATGGTTAGGGGAATCCAGGATATTATTATTTCGAATACAGAAATATAAATTTACATATAAACAACACAATATAATATATGAAAACATAATAAACAAAAAATACGCACACACGCTTACACATAAATATTTGAAGAGGCTTTGCACTTATGTTTTGAGCTTCCGAGGAATTTAACGTCCCTTTATTCAGGTATAAGTATGTATATTATAATTATTAATTATGGGTCGGAATGTACGTCAAAAAAAAAAAATAGTATGCATCTGAATAATGCAGATTTTCATTTAAAATCAAAAAAAGAGCTGATACTAGGGATGGGTATGGCCACTGTTGTAAGTGGATAGTGGGGAAGGTATAATACATAAGGTTATTTAATTTATATCTGTAAGCAACGATAAACTATTGCTAATGAAAGACGATTCTGAGTGCAGTTCGGTAATACATAATTTGAAGTGCAATATTTTTTTTTTAATCTAACCTTCTTCCATTTTTTCCTGGCTATTATGAAAACTAATTCAAAAATCAAATTTTCTAGAATAAAAGTGATCCACAGTATATATAAAAAATAAAAATAAAATACCATTGTAACAAAATTAAAAAAGTCCGTTTAATGATTTTGTCTAGGTAAGTCCAATATAAGTATTATTACCAAGTTTCAAGTCTCTGCGTGTATTTATAACCGAATTACAGCAAAAAACTCCCAAAAATTAAAATTCTTTGAAACCTCAAAAGTGGCTCAAAAATTTTAGCGATGATACCGTAAGAAAGTAAATCAAAAAGGCAATAAAAAAGGTATTTAGTAAATTTTCAATTTAATAATTTTTTCTGGTAGAAAACGTCTTCCGTATTTTTATAAAATAATGAAATTATGAAATTGTACGTTTCCCTACGTTTTTTCCCACTCAGGTGCTTTTATTTAAAAAATTTCGTCAAAAATCAAAAAAAAAATATCTGTTTAAAGTACAATCTAGACAACTTGAGCTTTCAGAAAAGTTACAGTTCATAAAGATTGGAGCAAGTTTACTAGGAAAAAACGTCTCCACAGACTAGAACAAAAAAAAAGAAAAAGAAATAAACCGCATTGTAAAACCAATAGCTTCCTGGCTACACTCGGAATCTAAAATTGATATCCATCACTTTTTGGTTAACTATATAATTTATTATCATTAATCATTGTGAGTTTTATAGTAAAATTACCAATGTTGAGTGCGATAATAAATAAAATAAAAATTCATAGTCGACGTTTTTAGAATTTGTATTCGTAGAGCAAGAAGCCTTCTATTAATTGCATACAGTGCAAACTCATACAACTATATAAAATAATGGAAACTATTCAACAGTGAAAACTTATTTCTAATAAAATAATGATCATTGCACACACAAATAATAGATTTTACTTTATACATAAAATTAATTTAATATTTAGCTCTTTCAATGAGAAAAATATAATCTAGAACGCGAATATGTTTAATAACTTTAAATCGGTAACTTATAAAAATAACATTAATTTGCATAGATAAAAATTGAATACAATACTTATATTTTAATTATTATACTTTTTTCGTTGCCTTGTTAATATGAACTACATTTTAATTACATTTTTCGTTTTAAAGACTACAAGAAACCATTTTTTAACAATTTAGTCGCTAAATAAAAATAATGAGAGCAATATTAATACAAAGTAAGTAATACAAAATTATTTTCAGATAATTTTATATGCCAAAACGGACACGCAAAAGTATTCTTGATCCATTTAATGATTATACATTAAATATCATATCAGGATCAATCATAAAATAATTGTAACTTATAGTTTTTACTTAATTACTTATAGTAAATAGGTACCTGACTTGATACATGTTGTTAAAATAATCCATACGATTAATCGACAATAAATTATAATAGTTTTATCTTGAAAAAAAAGTTAAAAATATTTTATTACAGTTTACCGAATATCAACTTCGCACTGATGATACAAGTATTACAATATTTGTGAAAAAAAAACATGGGGGGGAATAACGGGGCTTATAGATGGTGTGTGAGGCTAGTCTGGTAGGTATAAAGGAGATTTAGAACCAACGTGGCCGATTATGGATAAATGGAATAAAAGGATATAAAAGAAAAACATTATTCTGTGAGACGATTTCGTATTCAGTGTGAAAAATAATAAACCTACGATAATCAATGACGCCCATGGGTCTACTGCATAATGGTTCTATAATATTCAACGATAGACATTACCAGAATGTAAGAATAAAACCTACACATCATTTACCTACATTCTGGGCATCATAAATAGCCAAATAGGTAAGGTAGATAAATAGATAACCATTGACCCACGTAAATTTATTTTTGAGTTGTGCCAACTTTTCTAAACGTCTGTACATAATTTCAAACCCTAATCTCAACATAATATAAAACAAAATCGATTTTCGACACGCGACTATACGATAATATCTACTTAATCTGCAATTTAATCATTAGAAAAATATTGATGGAAATATTTAAAAACACGTGCGTGACGGTTGGTCACATATTAAACCACGATCAAAACATATTATAACGATGTAGATAAATAGATTCGTGATAACTAAGGTTCATGATAAAGGAAATAATACGACTTCGCCTCTAAAAATATTTTTACTAAAAGTATTTTCACAAGAAAATATTATAATATCCGTGTAACGTATATTCAATCTAGCTAGGTCTATTATTCAAACTATAAAGATTTTAATGTGCTTCCGCTTGAGTTACTCTATAAAATAAAACGCTCCATTGTTTTATACGAAAAATCTAGTTTTTTCTTTATTAAAGAGAATGCCAAGTTCAAGAGGAAGAAAGATTATTTAATATTTAAGTGATATACACTAATACAAGCTTTGGTCAAAAGTTCATAAACTATTTGGGTTCTGATAGGTTTACTCTTTGTCAGTTGATGTGAAAAAAAAAATATTATCAATGGTAATACTAACATCACGAATTGTAAAAATGATGTTTTGTTTAATGAATTATAAACTATGTTTATAATTTATTATTACTAAGTCTATCTTAAAAATTATTTATATTAATTATTTGTAAATATTTATTATATTATGTAATTTAGTTTAATGATAGTATGTATTATAACTCCCTATACCACCACAAGCTTAGCTTAAAGGTGTAGGTAATTATTTTTATTTCTATTAATACTTTGTATATGTATATTATATTGTAATAATATAATAATAAATCCTTCTAAAACGTAAAATACCGGAACTTTGGATCTGACGTAAGAGACGTATTTCTTTTTGTTTAATTATTATTTAGCAAAGAATATTGTACGTAATTAAATAATAATAGGAAAAATATAACATAAACCATATAATCATTTTTATATAAACATTTAATTGTTATTAAAACCGAACGCAATATACCATTTATTGAAGTGGTAAAAATAATCTTTACATAGTTCGTTTATTTTATTGAAGTAGGCAATATCGAATTACCGTTTTATTCGAACACGGGATCCGATTCCTTTAGAAAAATGAAACTCCTAATTCGATTCAAATATAAGAATATTTGTTTATTGTATAATCTACAGATAGTCAAAATTAGTTAAATCAAACCATATAAAATAATATCCCTGTATTTCATTTTAATACAATTTCAATAATAAAACTATTAGATATGAAAAAAAAAATCACATTCATTTGTCATTATTCAATCATAATCTCTATTATTAAACAGGTTAACTTAATTGAACTAATAGAAGCGAACGCAGGAAAATATTTCGGAGGGGGGGGGGTGAAAAAGTATAAAATGCTCATAAATATCATACTATATATTAATTAATTATAACAATTTGTCAATAAAAAATAAAACATTGTATTTATTAATATTAATATCGTCATGTAAATTTATTATTTCATATTTAGAGAAATGTTATTATACTTTATAGGTATATTATAACAGAATTTGGAACTAAATAAATAATTATATAGATAGTTAAACAACTCACATTACGATTTGCACCAGATTGTGGCATTTCGGGTATCCGTCTTTTAGTTGGTGGACTGTCTACGGACGATTTGTCTGAATCCCCATCAATCGGAACTTAGGTGGTATTTTTATATAGTAGTTTAAAAAGCTTTAAAATTGAACTAATTTTGAATTTTTGTATTTGGATTTAATATTACGTCACCATAACAATACGTCAATCAAAATTAGTGAATAGTGGAACAAGATATGCCGGTGGATTTGTGAGCGGTGTAGACGTGTGGTTTATATTGAACAATGAAATGTCTAAAATTATCCATATTCTAAATAATACGGGTCATTGGGAATTTCCCATAGTAAATTGGTGGCGATGATAATTTATCACATTCGTTTACATTACGGACATCATTGAAAGGCGGCGACCATTGTCAATCAGTTATTTATAACATATTCACTGTACGATCGTACAGTATAATGATAATTTTATTGGATACGTCAATTTACAAACCTGATTTCCACAAACTATTTCCTGATATTTAAAGGGGGTGCTATACTTGATAATCGGAGTATGCTTTCTGGTGGAAAAAGTGAATCCAAAAAAAAATGAAGAAAATACACATCTTTGTAAAACCAATACATTTCTCGTTCCACTCAGAATCTAAAAAAAAACCCTCTACAACTTTTATGTATACATAAAGAATAAAATTACCATATGATATATAATGTAATACTAATAATGTTATATACCTACTTTTACGTAATGTTATATTATATGATTATATCATTATTCGATGTCAATAGGTATACTTTCAAGTACATTTTTTCGCTAGAGCTTTTAATGGAAAAATTGGTGAAACGTAAAACGGAGTTTCAAATATATTATGCCTAATGGTTTATACGCGCGTCATCATATAATAGTGTATATTATACAATTGCCCAAATAATAACCGCGGGACGAAGACATTGGTGAATCAATGTAACGGTGTTTACCGAAATAACGAATTTGCACGTTTAAAATATATAAAAACAATAATATGGAAATTTCAGCGTCATATTATGGTAATGTACCTAAGTTCCGTTGTAACAATTCCTGAACGCTCTTTTTGATGCGCACGAGCACTGTGGCCGTGCGTCTGCATACACTGTTTAAGATAAAAACAACGATAATCCTGCAAGGATATAACTGTATTTGGAACAGGTGTTTAGATACATAGCGGTTTTAGAATTATAGAAAAAAAAACAATAATAACAATACGAATTCCAATACCTAAGAGACAAAATCAGAAACAAAAATACACACACAAACACACAATATTATGTAAGTATAAACATTTGCATTCATTTGGTGTATATAATGCGTTTTACTGAAATGGTAACACGAAATATATCAGCCAGATGGACTCAGATTGAACTGGATTTTTTTTTTAGCAAGATCGTAGGCACCAAAATACATATGACTGTTGGGCCAATTTTCAAAATGTTAACTCCTGCAGTGTATCCACAATAAAATTTACATTTTATTAAACAGAAACAACTATATTTTTAACAGCAATTCGATTACCTATAGTCCTATTTTTTTTGTTTACAGTTTTAACAAATACAATTTATTTTCCATCACGAAAATTGCCTGAGATACAGCCATCTAAAGATTATTAAAATATAATTGAAAATATTAATGATTTTTTAACAATTTAAACAAATTTGAACTGAGTTTAAAGTAAGGAAATTTGATTAGGTACAGTTTCATGGGGATATAAATTATAAATAAAGGTAATCATAAAACTACACATAACATATTATTATACTTCATAATAAACGCTTTATTAATAATTTTTTTTTTTCTGAAAATCGAAAACAAATTCTATTTTTTTTAATAAACTTTAGATAGATCATTGTTGTACCTCAAACAATTGTATTTGTCTAAGTTTATTTAAAAAAAAAAAATACATATTATTCAACCTGGTATCAAAAAATATGTTAACATGTAAGTTATTTTAGTACCGCAAGGGTTAAAATATTGAAAATAATATATTTAAAATGTGTATTTTGAAACTCCCCGATCTTCCTAGACCATTTAGATGAAAATCGTTCGTGTTACCATTTGAGTGAAACACACTGTATGTTGAGTGTATTTATTCAATTTCAATAAAAATACTTTTTTTTTCGAATTTAACACAACCAAAATATTATATAATATCGAAACTATTGCAATCTAATGTACATATACGTGGTCGGAGTGTCGTACTGGAAATATTACGAGGCCCCGGTTTCCAATATTATTATATCAAACGCTATATTGTTGTTTATTAATATTTCGTTTTTCAGTGCATATAATAATATTTAAGCCTCGCGTCACGTAGTACCGCGATTTTTTTTTATATTTTATGTTTTCAAACATCAACACTCGACTTTCCGCATTCCCCTATTGACTATTATTCTATTGTTGTTATTATATTCGACGAAAATTTGTCAAGCCATCTGTTTGTTCAAAGAATTATTTTGTTTTGTTTAAACATATTTTAAATTAAATTAAATTAAATTAATTTAATATTTAAAATATAAACATTGTTTCAACATCGTCATTTTTTTTTTTATTATTGTATTTTGTGTGTTAAAACATGTCGGAATATTTAACTCGGATTTTTATAGTTTTTTTATTTTTTGTTTTTGTCATACGAAAAATAATAACTGAACGTGTATGCGCATTTAGACTGTAGGGAAATATAACGTATAAGTATAAACTGTACAATAATGTACATTTCTATAACAAGGTGTATTTTTTTTTTTTTAACGTAACAATTGTATTAATAATAATTACTAGTAATAATTATTTGCCGACGATGCAAAAATTTACAAATCTATTACTTCCCCCGATGATATTAAACTTCTTCAAAGTGATTTAGTTTCATTTAACAAATGGTGCATTTCAAATAGTCTTTCATTAAATATTGATAAATGCCAAATTGTTACCTACTCCAAAAAGCACAATCCCTTACATTTTAATTATCATATATGTGACATTAACCTACATCGTTCGTCATTATTTAAAGATTTAGGGATTTTATTTGATTCCAAACTATTATTCAATGATCATGTATCAGCGATTAAAAATAAAGCTTTATCTGTATTTGGTATGATAAAAAGAAACCGCTCCGATTTTCGTGTTCCACTTGCTCTCAAATGCCTTTATACCTTACTAGTCCGTTCTTTATTAGAATACGCTCCACTAATTAGGAATCATAACAATGTAGGACATAATGATCAACTTGATAAAATTCAAAATAAAGCTCTCAGATTTTTATGTCATACATGTAGTATTCAAAGAACTCCTCACTCTGGCTACGATAATATTTTAAAACTGTTAAACTTAGAATCTTTAAATGTACGGAGACACTTATCATACAGTACGTTCCTCACCAAATTGCTAAATAATGAGATTGATGATTCATTTTTATTAAGTCAATTAAATTTCAAAGTTAATAGCCACCACACTCGTAACAATCATTTATTTTATATTCCTCATTCATCTAAAAAGTTTACGTCATACGACCCCATAAATATTTTAATGTCTTCGGGAAATAGTTAATTATTTTATTAAACATTGAATGTATTTTTATTATTATATTCATTATTATTATTATTATTATTATTATTATTATCATTATCATTATTATTATCATTATTATTATTACTATTATTCGATATATTAATCTTTTCATTTTTTATTATGTTATATTTTATTATTTTAAATTGTATTATATTATTATTATCTATACAAATATATTGTGAATTGGACTTTTGTCCGTATTAATAAATAAATAAATAAATAAATAAATTTAAAGTATAGATACTACACATTTAGGTAGGTAGCTGTAGGTCAGTATATAATTGATACGAACTACGACAGATACAATATGTTCTATAAATATAAAAACGTGCTCGAAATTATTAATAGTAATAATCTGCACAAACTGTGTGTATAGGGGTAATGTACTACATTGGCAATAATGATATATTATTATTATCGTATTTTATTAAAATACAAATTAGTTGAGAATATTGTATATATGCATCTAATAATTGTTTATGACACACTCAATAATATGTAGAGAATAACAACATTATGCCGGGGGCGTATTTTTAGGAAAAAATATAAAGTACACCTATGCGGACAGATAAGAAAAAAAAATCGATTTTTATATTGTTAAAACAATAATATCGAAGAAGAAAAATGATTTTACATAATCCGTTAATAGATATTTATTTTTATTCGAAATTAACATTTTGATGTAAGCCAAAATCAATAAATCTGTTGTGGATAGCGAGTTGCGATAGAACAGGGCAGAAATCTCTAATTTAAAAAAAAAAAAACCCGTATCTATACAAGGGTGTGTAAAATATATCAGTTTCTCATTATGGAAATGAAATTTAAGCAAAAATATATTATAGGTATCATTTTAATGACTTCAGAACTGTGCAAATTATTATCCATAAAAGTTTGAGCTCTATAATATAAAACACACTATATTATATTGTCAATTCGCACACTGTAAGGTACTCGCAATAACGTATTTCGTATATACTGTAAACAGTTTATTCTTAAAGTTTAGCTATCTAAACCTTCAGGTCATTATTCCAGTATCCCGGAAAGTTCTATACGTACCGAACGAGAAACTTAAACATGGAATGAAAATTACGTTTATATAACATGCATAATAAGATAATTAGGTATAGTTTATAATTAAATTAAATACAACACTATTAAATTTAATTGTAGATTTCAAAAATCTGCAGGAATTCGAAAGTAAGCGTAAAAACGATACAAAAATAGGTAATGATTTAAATTATTAATGCTCTATATAACAGACGTGTCGTTAATAGCGTTATCAAGGTACGAAAAAAAAATTGCTTTTATCGACTTTAATTTTATATTATTATCATATTAGATATAATTGAATATATTAAATTGTTCCCGATTGAAAATATTATTACATGATGGTGTGTATATATATACAATATAGGTACACCCTAACGGGGCTGCTATACTGTACCGAGTCATCCTCCATCGATGCAAAAGGTTAAAATACGCCCCCCCCTCGAGTTTACGCGGAATGCATTATACTCTCTATTTTCCCTTTTCATCGTCTTGCACTTAAGTATGCATCAATTGGCACCGGCGCTGTGTATTATGCAGTGCGTCAATATTGGGTCTTTGCCACACCGAATACATTATCTGCATAGACAGAATAAATACGAGCCTATTACTTATCTATGTATATGCTCGTCTAAAATGTAGAATATAAATATATGAATATATAAATAGAATATACCGTAAAGTTCTGCACTCATGTGGATATAATGTATAGCTAGGTACTTACACCAATATGCAAATAGTTCATCTTATAGCGCAGAATATTCATTGCATTCGATACGAATACACAATTGCAAAAAAAAGGGGGAGGGAAATCCGTCGTACTTTGCACCACTGGTGAAGATGGGAAGATAATGGGAATTATAGATTAATTTGGTTTATATACTTTATATTATGAAACTAATGAAGGCAATGAAAATCATTGCAAGGTAATCCTGCAGAAATCAACAACAGCAGTAATTTATTTATAATCATTTATTGTGAGTTTTCTTAATCTTTTAGAAAAACTATTGAGAATCTAGAAAAAGTATTCAAACAAAGTACCGCCGGGCAAACAATACGTATCTTTTATGGTGAACGGTGCCAACAATTTGGAGCATTTTTACTATCCGAAAAAGTATTTCCGAGAAAATAAACACATCTAAGATAATAAAACTATATAGGTAATAATAGTTTCTTTGCTACACTCAGAATCAGAAAAATCGCACATTTTGTACATTTGTTAATTGGGTCGACCCGTGTAAAATCAAATCAAAAATACAGTGCATATATATACTCTCACAAATCAATATTGAATCATTAACAATGGTGTTAATAATTTTACGCGTAATCAACATAATATATTTAGAGATCGAGTTTCAAATAATAATTAGATGTATAAACTTTGATACTTCAACATTATTATTAATGTATAGGTAGGTAATTAACAACTCGTGATATAGCGAGTTAGAGATCGTCACGATCGCCTAAAACTAAAGTTAATTTGATACTATTAATTATCGCCAAACAACATTCATAATGTTCCATATAGTTATTAATTATTATTGTTCATAAAGTTTATCTATAAAATGTATTATAATAGTCTTATGTAAAAATTATTTGTCAAAGTGCTTATTTATGTACGCGCAACGTACCTATCATAATAAATTAAATAACTGCAGACTACGGGGTGTCTTGCGAATATTTACAAACTACAGCGACAGAAACGATATAATAGGTACGAATATTTTCTCCCCACTATATTTAAATTAATAAATCCTTGTGGGATACCCAGACTCTGTGTGTACCTGCTATACGAACTATCGACCAAATATAATAAACACGATTATAATATACAATAATATTGTTGATGAAATAATCAGTTGTTTTCCCACCTCTCTCTCCCCCCCCCAAAAAAAAACGGATCCTATTATATACATTTTCTCGGAGTTTTCGACAGATGCTTTTGTCGGCCTTATACAATTGAGCGTTTCGTCGCAATGTATTTTCCCAGAGCTAATACAATAAAGTGCACGTGTTGATAAACATTTATTTCTATTAGGAACGACCCGCGTTTTAGTCGGTTGTTTTTTATATGTATAGGTATGTACAACAATAATACCAGTGCATATAATACGGGGACGCGAGTAGTCCGGATGTCATTTTATCGAGCAAAACAAGCGGCGCATTTGGCTCATCCTGTACGCGGCAAAATTTCAATTTTCCGAAGGGTCTTCGTCCGTATCTTATAGTTATATCACGGTACGTACTTACCTACTCGACCTTGGTTCCCTAGTCAAAAGAATATCGTTTAATTAAATGTATTATATATGTCTAGGTAAAACACACACTATACAACAGCCCTTCCGGACTTGGCCTGCATGATTGATGTTTGATTACTACATAACGAGGGCGGTCGAAAAATAATCATGTTGTTTACAAACTAGCTATTATTTATTACGAATGGAGAAAATATAGAGCGAGTACCCGCCTAGTGTAGTTTTCGAAAATTATAACATGCAAACGGATCTTGATACGAAAGACCAAATAGTATCTAGAAAAATGGGTAAATACAAATAACTATACCCACTATACCTGTATAAATAATCCAAAGGTATGTAATGTGTAAAATTATATAATTTACACTGCACAGATACTAATTTAGTAAATTAAATCACTGGTAGTAAGCCAGTGATTAAAAATGGAATTTTTTTAAAATATAAATATATAGAACTTTATATAACTACTTTGATAGTTTTAATGAAAGCATGGAACGGAAATATACAAATTTCCTTGTGCTTACTAATTGCTTCCAGCACAATTAAGAGCGTTTGAAATATTGTTACCACAGAACAAATTAAATTTTAAAACAAAATGTTTGCATATTAATGTATATTTAAAGGATCAAACAAAGAATCAAAGCATATTAATTAATCGTGGATGCAAATACATAATTAATTTTTGTATTTTATCATAAATCTCCGTGGCACATAACTACTGTACATAATAAACCGACTATACATGAAAAACGTCTGAAAAAGCTGTTATCATATATTAAAAATCAAACTATAGACAATTATTATATTTTTAAATCCGCAGCGTAGCGAGGAATGTATTGGTTTTACAATGATTTTTATTTTTATTTTTTTCTATCTGTGAACAACTTTTAAAGAAATCTTACAACGATTTTTAAACGTAGTAACTTTCCCGAAAGGAAATTTTATCTGGGAGATACTTTAGGGAGTCATTTTTTGATTTCCCAAGCGGTTTTTATAATAATTGGGAAAAAACTGGGAAAAACGTAGGAAAACCGGGAAATGTACATACAATATAAAAGAAACTTCGCTTCGAATCGTTTTTCGTTAACAATGGTTTAACGTTGCGAACAGATATAAATTAAATTCCTCTCTATATCCTACCTTCCCAACTTCTCATCTACAACAGTAGACCACCGTTCGTACGAAGTAATGTCAGTCTTTTTTTTTTAATACTTCGTAAAACACCTAAGCTCACCTTCT